TTAATAAAAATAATAATATAATTATAGGATAAATAAGATAATAGGAGATAATTGTGGGGTAAATAATTTTATTAGGGGTAAGGGGAGAATGTATGTAACATTAATTAAATTAATTAAAGCTTGTACATACTTAAATTAGGGGTTCTTAACATACTTCTCCCCGTCCTTTAATTCCCCCTCTCTCACCTAAACTTAACATATAAATCATAGTTCACATCTTATTCAATATTCTTTATCTTTTATTTTAGTCATTCATTTTAAAATCTTAAACATTAAGTTACTATACAATTAATAAAAATAATAATATAATTATAGGATAAATAAGATAATAGGAGATAATTGTGGGGTAAATAATTTTATTAGGGGTAAGGGGAGAATGTATGTAACATTAATTAAATTAATTAAAGCTTGTACATACTTAAATTAGGGGTTCTTAACATACTTCTCCCCGTCCTTTAATTCCCCCTCTCTCACCTAAACTTAACATATAAATCATAGTTCACATCTTATTCAATATTCTTTATCTTTTATTTTAGTCATTCATTTTAAAATCTTAAACATTAAGTTACTATACAAAAGGGGCCCCCCCGTCCTTGTAGCCTTGTATCTATCTCGCTTTTTTCAATTTATTCCCCTAATGTAAATATATACTATCTTTTAAATAACTTGATGTTAAGATTGCAAATACATATGCTTGAATACATGCTATAGCAAATTCTAATATTACTATCGCAAATATCCCTAATAATGGTATAAATCCTAATATTAATGTTATATAATTTATACTCATTAAATTCTTAACTAAATTACTTAATATACTCATTAATAAATGACCAGATAATGTATTAGCTCCTAATCTTAATCCTAATGATATAGCTCTCGCTGTATATGATAATAATTCTATTAAAACTAATACCGGTACTAATGGTAATGGTGTTCCACTTGGTACAAATAAGCTAAAAAATATAAATTTATTTATAAATAAACCTAATATTGTTAAACCTATTCATAAACTTACTGATATTCCTATTATAAATATTAAACTTGCTGATAATGCAAAATTATATGGTACCATTCCTATTAAATTCGCTATTAATATAAAACTAAATAATGTATATATTAATGGTATATATCTTCCATAGACTGATCCTCCTATTTGTCCTTTAACCATATTTAATATTGTATCAAATACTGCTTCTATTGATATTAATCAATTTGAACCTTTAATTAAATTTTTTCCTATTGATAATTTAAATAAATAATAAATTACTAATAATACTAATATAGTATATATACTAAATGTACTTATATTTATTGTACTTAAATTTATAAAAGGTGAATTAATTTCTAATATATTATTAATTATAAATTGATCTAATGGAGAATTTATTATTCAATTATTTAAAATCATTTTTCTTTTATTTTTATATGTTCATATATTATCATATTATATTGCTTATTTCTCTATTAATTTATACTTTATATATTAAAAAATTAAACATACTATAGAGTTCTATTCTTTAAATTTTAAGAATTAAAATTTGAACTATATAAGCAGATATAACGGCAAAATAACTTAATCCTATAATAGTTAAAAATAATTTTTATTATTAAATTCTCTTAATTTAATCCTTTTAATTTATTGAATAGCATTAACTTAAATCAATACTTTAATTAACTTTAAGGTGAAATTATTATTTAATTTGATACTATAATCTATGTTTCTAAACTACTATAGAGTTATATTTATATATGTTGAAATTGTCTTTATTTAGTCTTTTTTTATATCCCATTTCTATTACTTTTTATTCTTTTTTTTCTTATTTTTATTTTTATTTCTTATTTAATTCCCTTTAAATTAATTAAAAATACCACATATAGACTAATATTTCCCTAATATATTTAATTATATTTTAATTTTTATTATTATATTCCCTTTCTTTTATTTTAATATATTTAGTATTTTTTGAATTTATTCCCCCTTTTTCAGATTTTTTTATTCTTTTATTTATTTAGCTTTTTTTATTTAATTCCCTTTTATATTTTTATTTTTATTATTTTTATATATTTAGTATTTTTTTAAACTCACACCCACTCTTTAGCTGTTCTTATTTCTTTATTATAAATTCTATTCTGTCTTATTATTTCTTCTATTAAATTACTAAGAATCGAACTTAGATAGTTTCATTATGAGTGAAATGCTTTAACCGTTAAGCTATAATTTATTATTTTTTATGATTAATTGGACTTGAACCAATAAAACCTTAACCCTAAATTAAGTACGTTTACCCTATTTCGTCATAATCATATTTATTAGAGTAATATACTTTATATATTATAGGTTCTTTTTACAAAATACCTTATATATACAAGCCGCTATTAAGCTTACTCTTTGTTAGGTAATGACCCTAAGTAAAATAATATGTTCTCTAATGTTGATATAACTGGTGTTATAACTAAGAAATATGAGAAATAAAATACTGTAGATCATACACCTAATTGAATAAATGGTACTTCAACATGTAATTGCCCTAAGTTCGCTAATAATACAAAATTAAAGATAAATAATCAGAAGAAAAATTTTGATAATGGTTTGAATGCTAATCCTCTATAGATACTACGATCTGTATAAGGTAATACTAATAAAATTAATAATGCACCAAACATTGCAATAACTCCACCTAATTTATCTGGAATTGAACGTAAAATAGCATAAAAAGGTAATAGGTATCACTCAGGGACTATTGAGGCAGGAGTTACTAGGGGATTTCCTGGGATATAATTATCAGGATGCCCCATTGTGTTAGGTGAAAAGAATACAAAGAAACAGAAGAATCAAAATCATACAAATACTGTTACTAAATCTTTAAATACAAAGTATGGATGGAATGATAATCTATCTAAATTTCCTGTAATTCCTACTGGATTACTTGATCCATGCACATGTAATGCAATTAAATGTAATACTACTAATGCAGCTAATACAAATGGGAATAAATAATGGAATGCAAAGAATCTTTGAATTGTAGGATTACTTACTGAAAATCCACCTCAGATGACTTAATTAACTTACCTTTATACAATATTTATATCATATTAATATATATTACTATATAAATTAGACTATGTCATCATCCATTGTTTATACAATTAGGATGTAGAGCGCTCTTGTCTAGATATTGTTATAATACTCACTAGTTAGTCGTTGAACGTTTATTATTCTATTAATTATAAATAATACTTCGCTTCAATTTATCCATTTGGCTTTATTGAAATTCACTCTATTTTTCATTAAATATTACTATCTAATGCCGCTCATCTGATCTATTTTTAATTTAATATTATATTTTATAATAATATTAGGTAAGAATAGTAATAAAAGAACGGAACAACATCTCCACCTATAAATGGAATAGCAGATAATAAATTAGTAATAACTGTTGCACCTCAGTGACTCATTTGCCCATAAACTAAACAGTAACCCATAAAGGCAGTTGCTATTGTAGCTATTAAAATTATAACACCAATGATTCATACTAAAACTCTTGGTTTTCTATATGAACCATAATATAAAGCTTTACCTATATGAATGTACATACAAATAAAGAAGAAAGATGCCCCATTTGCATGAGCGTATCTAATTAATCATCCTAAATTTACATCACGCATTATATGCTCTACGGAGTCAAATGCTAATTCAATATGTGATGAATAATGCATTGCTAAGAAAATACCAGTTACAATTTGAGTAACTAAACATAATCCTAATAATGATCCTAAGTTATATCAATAACTAATAGTACTTGGTTGTGGAGAGTCAATTAAATAACTATTAACCAAGCTTAAATAAGGTTGAGTTTTTCTATATGCTTTCATAAAGATATGATATGTGGGGTATTATAACCCCCTTCTATGTCGGGGGTTATAATCTTCTATATTAATATTATTATACTTAATAACTTCCTATCCTATTGATTGGATAAATTACAATATATAATATATTAATTATATAAATTATAGTAATATTGTTCTTTAACAAGAACAAGGTTTTATTTCAAAAATGCTGTATATATACAAGCCGGATAAAACCTTAATTAAATTAATAAAATCGATTATATTCGACAAATTCTTAGTAAATAATTAATTGTTATTGTACAATTAACTATAGGTAATGTAATTATAATATTTATATCAGGTCCAGAAAGATTCGAACTCTCAAATATAGTTTTGAAGACTATTGTTTTACCGTTAAACTATAAACCTATTTAAAATAATTTGTTAGTTATATTATAATATCGGATTAAGTAGGATTCGAACCTACAGTACTATAAAGTATGATAGCTCAAATATCACGCATTAGCCAGTTCTGCCATTAATCCTTTTAGTTAATCTTTATCGGAATCGAACCGATATAATTGATATGAAGAATCAATGTCTTAACCATTAGACCAAAAGATCATTTATTTAATTTGTTTAAATATTACAGTCATTTCTTGACCATTATATTGAATTTTTCTAGGTTTATCTTTTTCAATACATCTTTGTAATGAACTTCTAGCTAAACCTAAACTTCTAGCTGCTTGAGCTTGACTAGGATATGTTACAAGTAATTCATCATTATCATATTTATATACTAGTATTTTATATTTTAAAGGCGCAGCCTCTATTTTATCTTCTAAAGTTCTAGGTTTTTTCTCTAACTTTATTTTTTCATTAGCTATTATAAATTCTTTTATATCAAATGTATTAATATCTATTGGTTCAAAACTTACTATGAAATTTTTATTATCTAATTTTAACATTTTATTACCACTAGCATATCTATGTATTGTCATTCTACTTGTATTTAAACTTTGAGCAGTTTTAAGAATACTATCAAATATTGATAATAATTCCATACTTTGATTATCTATATCAACTAAATATACATATACTTTTTTAGGTGTATTATGAAGTTTTTTTTCAGTCGATATAGTTGAATATGATCTAATTTGACTAAAATTATTAAATAGATTTCTAGAGTTTAATACATTATTATAATTGTTATTATAATTATAACCGTATTTATTTACCTTTTTATTTTCTTTATTATTATTATTAATAGTTATATTAAATAATCTTAATAAATATATGAATAAACTATTGTTCGTCAATTCAGGTAAGAAATTGATTCAGGGATACAGCTTCAAGTTTAATCGGCATCGCGCTATGTCCAACGCCACATAACTCGCTACACTGTCCATAGTACACACCTTCACGTTGTATTAATGCAGAAGTCTGGTTTAAACGACCTGGTGATGCATCTACTTTAATTCCTAATGATGGTATTGCAAAGTCATGAATTACATCAGCTCCTGTAACAATAAATCTAATATGAGTATCTACTGGACAAATTAAATGTGCGTCAACATCTAACATACGTAATTGTCCATCTTCTAATAAATCTTCTGGTATAATATATGATTCAAATTCAATTGTTTCTCCTTTTTCATTAATAAAATCAGAGTATTCATATTTTCAATATCATTGTAATCCGATAGCTTTAATTGTCATTGCTGGAGCAATAACTTCATCACAAATATATAATAAAATAAAACTAGGGAAAGCAATAACTAATAAGATTATTGCGGGGAATGAAGTTCAAATAATTTCAATTAATTGACCATGATTCATATATTTATAGATAATATTACTATTATTAAATTTAATAATAGAATTGAATAATACGTAAGATACTAAACATAATATAATTATTAAATAGAACATAATATTATTATGTAATTCTACGATACCTTCCATATTAGGTGTAGCTGAATCTTGGAAGAATACAGCTCAAGGTGTTGGGACGTCATTGTAAATGGCATTATTAATAAATAACATAAAATTTATATTTTAACTAACTAATATCTTTTTAACTTATTATGAAAGTACATAATTACGATTTGAACGTAAATCAATAGCTTATGAGGCTATTATGTTAACCATGTTACACTATTATGCTATATATAATTATAGTGAGGGTTTTAATTCAAAAATACCTTATACATACAAGGGGTTAGAAAGACTGAAACATCCCTCATTTTAAAAAACCCTCATACATACAAGGGGTAAGAAAAACACTTTTGAAAAAGTTCTCATTCATATAAAACGGTTATTAACTTAACTCTCAATATAATCCCCTCTAATTAAATTCTTTAAATATACGAATTGTGAGACTCGAACTCACATGATCTGCTTGGAAGGCAAAGTGTTTAACCAGTTAACTTAAATTCGCATTTCTTTCCTTCATTAACTTCCTCATCAATAGAATACAATATATAAAAATAATCAGATTATATCTAATATATGTAAATATAATATTGTTGTTTCTAAATTTAAATGGTGAGTGTTAGTAAAATGATAGAAATACATTCTAAAATAACATACTAATAACATTAATGCTAACATTACCATATGTAAAAAATGTAATCCTGTTGCAGCATAAAATACTGAACCATATACACTATCTGATATTGTAAATGTTGCAAATGTATATTCTAATACTTGACATAATACAAATATTATTATTAATGCTGTTGTTATAAATAAACCTACTAATGTTGCTTGTCTATTTTTATATAATATTGCATGATGTGCTCATGTTACTGATGCACCACTTGCTAATAATATTATTGTATTTAATAATGGTAATTCTGTTGGTTTTATTGATTGAATTCCTACTGGTGGTCATGTCGCACCTAATTCAATTGTTGGACCCATAGCTGAATGAAAGTATGCTCAAAATAATGAAGCAAATATTAATATTTCAGATAATACAAATAACATAAATCCGATATTTAATCCTCTTCTAACTGCTATTGTATGGTCTCCTAAATATGTACCTTCTATTACAATATCTCTAGTTCATAAAAATATTGAACTTAATACTAATCCTAATGCTAAATATAATCAAAATAAATTTGTTATATAATTATGCATTGTTAATCCTAATGTTAAAGCTAATGACATTAATGATAATGATATTAATAATGGTCATGGTGAAAAAGCTACTAAATGAAAAGGAAATAATTGTAAATTTTGTCTATTTTTTATTGTCATTTTTTTTATTTTGTTTTTCTTTATATATATATTCTTAATTATATATTAACTATATAATATAACGTTAAATATCTTATTGTATTTAACAAAAGGAATTCCCTCTTATATTAATTGTGTTATAATTAGGATTTGAACCTAAAACCTTTTGATTACAAAACAAACGCAATACCTGTTATGCTATTACAACATGTGTTGTTGTTTAAATAAATAATAGAAGTATAATAAAAATATAATATTAATTAGGCTATACATAATTATGGTAATATGTAGCTATTAATATACTAGTCTAATATAATATTAAATATGCAACTTGTGCATATGTTATTAGTTTATAGAATTTAATTTCGTATTTGAAATGCTTTCAATACTTAAAATAGATTAATTTAACTTAACTGCATACTAAGTTACTTCTGTTAAACAATAAATTATATGAATATATCATAGATATACTCCTCTTAATAACAGTCAAATCATTGATTAACAATATCCAATCCTTTCGTACTAAGATATAGAATTCTATTAACTATGTCCTAAAGAAGATAGAAACCATACTGTCTTACGACGTATTAACAATTTATTAGCAACTATTTTCATAGTTGATTAGACTATATTTTCAACTTTCCTTTTCCCTTTATTATTTCATTAATTTCTTAATATATTCATCCAGTCTTATTCCCTTCTTATTCTCTATTATATTATATAATTCACTTATAATATATCTTATTTTATCATTATTCTTCTTATAATCTTTATTATCTGATATGTATTTTAATACATTTATCATATGTTTAATTTTATATCCCTTTATTAATGGATAATTATCCTCCGTTATCATCTTATTTAAAATGTTCTTATTAAATTCTACTATACTTTTAGTTTCTCACCTAAATGATGTATTGTTTATATTATAAATATGACCTATATTATTAAAGTAACTCTTAATATTATTAAGTAATAACATTTCGTTCTTATCCTGTATTATATAATATGTTAATGTAATATCTTTATTACTATTTAATGATACTGATAAAGATCCCTTACCATCAAATAATCCATTAATATAATCTAAATCTAGATTAGATGGTTTATAATTTTTTATGGATAATTCCATATCTTCTATTATATTTAATATATCTTTATTATATATTTGATTATTAACGATATATTGTTGTTCTTTATTTAAATACCGGTTATGATTATTAGTTATTTTATTAGCTAATATAATTAAACTTAATAATATGCTATTATTATTAATATGTAATTTATCTATCATTATATTAATAATATATTTTAATATTATAACTTTAATATGCTTATTACTTCTTAGGTCATTCCTTAATAAAAAGGGTATTATAATATGATGTAAATCATTTAATTGATTAACTTGATATCTTATAGTATTATCGGATTTATTTATTATAATAAATCCAATATCATTGAAGTAATGTTTAATCTTTAGGATTAAATCTTTATTTTTAATATTTTGAGTAATATTAAAGTAAGGAATTAAACGTAATGAATTTTTAGTTTTATGTAAATTAATACCTATAGATCCATTCGCTTGAATTAATCCTGAAATATAATTATTAGTTAATTTATTCATATGGGATGGTTAATATAGAAAAATACTGAATATATACAATACGCTAGAAACCACATTCTGTGGTTTAATACACTAAAAAGTTCCATACCTATTGTATGTATAAAGGTTTTTATTCTTTTAGAAAAGTGCTGACGTTTTATTTAAAATTTATATCATTTTAAATCCAATATATTTATATTGAGTCGTTACGGGATCTTACAAAAGGTAAAATTTCCCACGGTATTAACATATTAATTATATTCATTAACTTAGTCTTCACCGTTTTCAGTCAGTTATTCGATATTTTTCACAAAATAAAGGGGCTTAATACTTTAACCCAACTCACGTAACCTTTTAATTGACGAACAGTCAAACCCTTATTAGCTTCTACGACCAATAGGATAGGTTGAGTCGACCATATGTTTTATTAAATTATTTAATCTTTAATATCAATAATTCTCATTATTGTTCAGACTATGTCTTTAACTTAATATTGCTATTAAATTATCGGGAACTCTTGGTTAGTTTATTGTTATACTACTCACTAACTAGTCGTTGAACGTTTATTATTCTTAATAAATGTATAAATAATATTTCGCTGCAAATTGTCCATTTGGATTTCTTTGCAATTCACCCGATTTATATCCTCGACATTGACTAACTTATCGAGGTCACGAACAGCGCTGACAATATCTACTCTCTCGCGCTACCATGCTGTTATCCCCGGCGTAGCTTTTATTCGTTATCGATCACTTGTACTATAAATATGATCTGTTCACTATACCATACGTAAGTATAATTCAGACTTGTAGGTCCGAATTTCTTGCATAGTTATGCTATTATACTTTAAAGAATATTTATCTTAACAATAAATATATATATCTGATTTCATCTTCAGATTAACTATACAATAATTTATTCTATTATAACATTGATTCAATGTTTTTAACAATATTAAAAATTATCTTTTTAATTTATATCGAATATATCTAATTTAATTGTAAATGGTCATATTCAGTTACATTTTATGAAATCAACGCCCCATTTAAACTATCAGGCTAAAGATGTCTCTCTAAACTAATTAAGAATTATTAATTATCTAAATTAATTAGTTGATTACGAGATAAGTACCTATAATTTCAAATTTAAGTATTTCATTATTATACCAATATATTACTTAATATTCTAAAAATTGAATAAAATAGGAACAACTTATTAGACTATAGTAAAGCTGCACGGGGTCTGTTGAGATAGGTAAACTTATTACTAAGTGTTCCCCCTCTAAGAACCGTACGTGCTACTTTCATAGCATACGGCTCAAGCATTTAATTATTCATTAAACACCTATATCTAAGTCTGCATTCTTTCGAATTAAATCATTTTGATTCTATCTTATTCATTACAAATAAGCATTCGCTTTTTAGATTATCCTTTACCCACTATTATATATTTAATCTTACAATTAAACTTCCCCCTTTAGGGGGGATAATATTGGGCTTACCTAGTTTATTTAATAATACCTTTATGATTACCTTAGAATTTCACTATACGTTTATTGATATTTTGGCCCATTAAAGAAAAAACGAGAACTTTTTCCTACCATCAATAAGATTCCGCTTCAAATGTGAATTTGTTTTCACTATTCATAGTAATCTAGTTCATTAACCCGATTGAAAATCGGGTCTTAAATTAATAACATAAGCTTTATACAAATAAATTACTTTTAATGCATATTATGTCGAACTCATACAATGGACTGTAAGATGGATTTTCACCATATTATTATTAAACACTTTTCTAGTCGCACTCTCGTCTAACTTTAGGTAAACGGCATCTTCACCGCTAATTCAATTTCACTAAGATTTTGGTAGATACAGTTATCGCATCATTCTATCATTCATGCGAGACTATAATTAGTAGACAAGGCATTCATTTAAATCAGATTTATCATCTTATTCACATTATTCTATAATATTATTAGTTATTTTTTTTAAAGAGTAAGAATTCATATTATATTTATACTCTAATATTTGTGCTCATCCTTCATGTGTTAAATGTTTGTTATTATTAACTATATCAATCGCTTTAACTCATAAATTAAAATTATTATTCTTAATACCTATTATATTATAGGTTAAGAAAAAAGGCACTATTATAGTATTAATATCATTTCTATCTTTAACAGTGTAATAACTAATTATAGATTCTTTAAAAGGTAATTGATTAATTTCCTCAATAGATAATTGTTCAATATTTTTTACATACTTATAAGTTGTATTTCTTGTATAATTACGTAAAGTTCCACAATTAAAGTAAGATTTAATATGTTCTAATAATTCATAATCATCTGACTTTTGAGATATAATATATGAAAAAGTTACATAATAAGGTTTATTCTCATTACAATTTATATAAAATCCACCATCACCAGATGTAAATCCAGCTATTCAATAATCTTTAATATAATCTATATTACGTTTTATCTCAGGGATAAATACGGGATTATTTAATAAATGAGGATATTTTTGTTGTAAATTTTCCGATATCTTACGTCTATTAATAGATAATCTTATTCTGATAATATCCTCTACTTCTTTATCTGTTAATCTTTTCTTTTTATTAGAACCATCACCATATTTAATGATAGCTGCTTGTTTAAAAAGATAAAAATCACTTTGTTTTTTACTTTGTAAAGGGTAATTTTCAAAATGAGGAATTATTATAGTTATTAAATCCTTAATTTTAGATACTTTAAAATAAATAGTATTATTACGTTTATTCTCTCAGATATTTCCTATACCAAAAAATTCTTTTAATGAATTTATTAGGTTTTTATCTACAGTATGCATACCTATAACAAATTCTAGTTGAATTCGTTTTCCAATTTTTAATGTAAAACAACCCTCTGCATCAGTTAATCCTGTTATAAATCAAGGGTGTAATTTTATATGTGATAAATTAGAAAGGCTTCTGATCGGATACTCACTTTCATGAGCCATTAGAGTACATCTTAATCTAACTTGTTGTTGATTGAATTTAGTATTAGAATTCAATAAGTTTAGATAACTACCGTATACTCGTTGCTCTTTTACAATAAAATTATTAAAAATACTATAATTATTTATTGATTTAGATACGCGATAGCCCATTTTATTTTCATAAATCTTTCAACTTGTTACCTTACCTGAGTAATTACTTCAGCCATATCATACTTTTCAGTATAAATAAACAATGTTTATTTTAAATTTCTTTAATACATACCAACAACTATGTTTTATTATATTAAATCATTTGATACTTGGTATTGAAAGCTTTAGGGTGTCCCCGTAGTTTGGTAGTTTTTCCCAATATAGAGTTTGCCTAGAACTCTTTTCAGGCTACATTATGACTCTCATTATAAAGCCGCCATTGACTTAAATTTTAATTACATTATCGATTAAATAACATACTTTATTAATAAGCATTGGGCAGACCTCACACTTTATACTATAATATTAATTTTCGCAAAGTGCTGTGTTTTTAGTAAACAGTTGCACGATATGTACTTTATTATTTCCTTTTGACAAACGTGGGAAATATGTTTTGCCGAGTTCATTTACCAAAATTATCTTATTCACTTTCTTTTCTACTTTCGTATACCTGTGTCGGTCTTATTACGGTATTAGTTATTATAATTTTTTCCTGTACTAATTATTGTTATAATTATATGTAATATAATTACATTAGTCGTGTATTATAATTATTAATTACCTATTAATTATACCTATTCAGGTAATAATCTTAGGGACCGATTTTTTATTAAAACCTCATACTTAAAGTGAAGGGGATTATCCCCTTTTACGTTACTCATGTTAGCATTCTCTATTCAATTTCATTTGTATTGTATATATTTAGCAAAATTTGCAAAATAATACTATTATTATTACCTTAAATTAATTAAGATATTCTATAATTGAGTGTTTTGTTACCATAATAAGATAATTAAATATCCTATTATTTATAGGTTCAGTTATATTCTTTAATATAAGTTCCGGGTATTGTCTATATAATTTCTCTTAAAATAAAATTATTATTTACATAACTAGTCCGTTGATACACGTTGATCATAGAATAGATTACTGTCAAACCCATCTCGTAGTTGTTATAGAGATAATTTATATTAATTACACTTAGAATATAATTTGGAACTTTACCTAATAATCTGGGCTGTTTCCCTTTAGACTATAAACCTTATCGCCAATAGTCTGACTATTATTTAATTATAATGTGGAAGAATTATGAGATTAAATTATATTGATAATTTTAGTAAAAAAACCCCAATGATAATTAATTGCTTTACCTTCCGATTAATAATAAATAACGCTATACTAAAATATATTTCACAAAAAACCAGCTATTTGTAGATCAGATTTGTCTTTCACTACTTATCATAACTCATCAAATAATATTGCAACATTAACTTGTTCAGCCGATTTATATTATTTACCAAATTAATAGTAATATAATACTTCCGCTTGGTTATGATAAGATCATCTACTTTCGGGTATATAACTATTAACTACTAATAATGTATATATACATTATTTTTCTCAATTTCTTTATAAAGAAAAAATTTCTTTTTGCTAATAATTATAACTTGCTAACCCATTATACAAAAGGTACATAATCAAATTTTAATTGTTTAAAATTCTCTTATTGCTCATGATTTTACTAATATATAAAATTCCCTTTCGGTACTAGTTAGTGCTTATTGATAATATTTAGCTTTAGAATTAGTTAATCCTATATTCCCACCTTTATTGAGGAGGTACTTGCTTAAACTATACTCTATTTTCTCTCACCAATACTCATAGAATCTCTGTTGATTTATATTCCTTAGGTTACTAAGATGTTTCAATTCACCTAGTTTACTTTTATCAGTTTCCTTTAGGTTTTTTATTCATTTTTATTAAATAAATTTTTACCTATTTTTATCAATAGCGCATTTTCTTATATATTAATTAATCTTGATTGATTTTTATTATACTAAATCTTTTCTATTATTATATTTATATATGTATACTTTTCATTAGGTTACTCTATAAGAAGTGTAGCTTATATCTTGTATGAATTGAGTATTTTTAATTTATAGCTTTCTTACCCCTTGTATGTATGAATCATTTTTGAAATAAAACCTTTAATTAAATTACCCCTTGTATGTATTCAGCTTTTTTAATAAAAAAAATAATCTATTCAATTAAATAACCTATTGTATGTATAAAGCTTTTTCGAAAAACCTAAACTTAATTAATGTTCTCTAATCTAATCTTATCCTTATCCTTAATATATAAATGGATAATAGATTCATTAATATCTCTTTATCTTAGTATATACATTCTATATATGCTCTATATAATATACCAATTACATTAATAATAACTTAGCTAATATTTTATATATTAATTTGCTTACCATATAATTAATATTTACTTATAGATTGTTGTTTATAACAACAGTTAATATAATATTGTTATAATAAAATTTAACTATTAATATTCGTTATACCCCCCCAAAGGGGGGTTTAATTGTATAAGTAAATATACGTTATTACTTAATAATATAAGTTTAATATATCATAAAAATATATCTTTTATTAAAGGATATTTCTTATATTATGTACAGTATAACTTTCTCATATGAACTTACATAAATGTCATCATCAATAAGTTATTATATTAATAGATGATTATTTAGTACTTCAGCCAAAGATATTGCAGTATTATATATTATATTCGCTTTATTCTGTGGTTTATTAGGTTCATTAATGTCCGTTATTTTAAGATTAGAATTATCTTCTCCTGGTAACCAAATATTAATGGGTCAACATCAATTATTTAATGTTGTTGCTACAGCTCATGCTGTTTTAATGGTTTTCTTTTTAGTTATGCCTGCAGCTATAGGGTTCTTTGGCAACTACCTAGTTCCATTAATGATTGGTGCTAGTGATATGTCATTCGCTAGATTAAATAATATTTCATTTTGATTATTGCCTCCAGCATTAGTATCATTATTAGCTAGTGCATTAATTGAAAACGGGGCTGGTACGGGTTGAGTGCGCCATTTAATTGATATAATTTTTGAGTGTATATACTCCACTTTAGTTTTTTCATATTACTATTACTTAAAACAATTTATATCATCTAATCTATTTAAAAATAAATTAAAATCTATAACAACTACTAATAATAATCATCGTTATTCAACAAAAGTTGAATATTTAGATATTATTCCTAATAATACATGTAAAGATTTAATTATTTGAAATTCAGAATATAATATATCTACTTATACTACTAAATTTATTTCTAAAAATGAAAAAGATATTATCGCTTTAACTCATTTTAACAAATCTGTATTAATTGGTTCATTATTATCTGATTCTTATATAGAAAAAAATGGTAATTGAAATCCTAGAATTAGATTTGAGCATTCTGTACATGCATTTAGTTATGTTATTTATTTATATAATCAATTACAAATTTTGAGAAGTATTACTCCTTTATTATTAATTAAAAGAAAATTAAGAAATAAAGTTTTCTATAGTTTATCTTTTAAAACTAGACAACTGTTATGTTTAAATGAATTATATTATTTATTTTATAAAAAAGATATAAATAATAAAAAAGTTAAAAGAATAAGTCCTGAATTATATCATTATTTTAATGATATAGTTTTAGCTCATTGAATTATTGGAGATGGAAGTAAAACAAAAGGAGGTATAATATTATGTACTGATTCATATTCTTTTGAAGATATATCTATTCTTATTAATATTCTAATATTAAAATATGATATTCATCCTATAATTAAATATCATGCAAGTTATAAAATATCAGATGTTAATAAAAAAAATAAAAGTATGAAACCTCGTATATGTATAAATACATATGATTCTAGAAAAATATCACAAATAGTACTTCCATATACTGTAGATTATTATAAATATAAATTATTTATCTAAGATAATTAGATTGATTATAAGTAGTAATATAATTATTATTAATTATTAATAATAATTTTAAAGTGTAAAACATTTAACTAAGGTATGTAAAGTAATTTACAACTGACAATAGCATGTTAAAAAAGGGAATTTAATAAAGATTTTTATTCATCTTTACATGGTCATTCCCGAGTTAAGATTCTCAAGGTAAGTATAACAAACTCAATTAAATAATTCGAAAATTTTTATATTGGTAGGAAATTATCCATAAAAATTTTGAGTATATATTATATTTTATACATGTTCAACCTGATATAATATTAGAAAAAACAATACTTTTAATAAATAAATATTAATAAGTGATTAATGTGTAATGACTTTTTTATTTATTACGAATTAGAGTACCTAAAAGAATATATATGAAGTTATATCAAGAACTTGGGATTAACCAAAAATAATAATAATAATAATAAATTTTTGGTTAACAGAATTTTCGTAGTAGTATTTATAAAAAAAAAATACGAAGGAAAATAGGAATAAAGAATTGTTTTCTTTATTTTGGAAAGCCGTATGCTATGAAAGTAGCACGTACGGTTTGGCTTAGGGCTTTTATGTTAATTTTATTTTAAAAGAACATATCTGCTACTAGTTACAGTTTACCCGCCCTTATCAGGAATTGGTTCACATTCAGGTCCTTCAGTTGATTTAGCTATTTTCGCATTACATTTAACTTCTATCTCATCTTTATTAGGTGCAATTAACTTTATTGTTACTATTTTAAATATGAGAACTTTAGGTATGACTATGGCTAAATTACCTTTATTTGTATGAGCAGTAATGTTTACAGCTATCTTATTATTATTATCATTACCTGTATTATCGGCAGGTGTAACATTATTATTAATGGATAGAAACTTTAACACATCATTTTATGAACCAGCTGGCGGTGGAGACCCAATCTTATATGAACATTTGTTTTGATTCTTTGGGCATCCTGAAGTGTATATCTTAATTATTCCTGGATTTGGAATTGTATCTCATGTTATTAGTACTTATGCTAAAAAACCTATCTTTGGGCAACTTGGGATGGTATACGCAATGGGGTCTATAGGGTTCTTAGGTCTATTGGTCTGAAGCCATCACATGTACGTTGTGGGACTGGACGTTGACTCTAGAGCTTACTTTACATCAGCAACTATGGTTATTGCAGTACCTACTGGTATTAAAATATTCTCATGAATTGCTACTTTATATGGTGGATCTATAAGATTTACTACTCCAATGTTATATGCTTTAGCATTCTTATTTTTATTTACAATAGGAGGATTATCAGGTGTATTATTATCTAACGCTTCATTAGATATAGCATTCCACGATACATACTATGTCATCGGCCACTTCCATTATGTTTTATCATTAGGTGCGGTATTTAGTTTATTCGCTGGATATTATTACTGATCTCCTATGGTAACAGGATTATATTATAATAATAATTTAGCAAATATCCAATTCTGATTATTATTTATAGGTACAAATATAACATTCTTCCCAATGCATTTCTTAGGTTTAAATGGTATGCCTCGTCGTATACCTGATTATCCAGATGCATTTGCAGGATATAATGCAATAAGTTCATTTGGTTCATTAATATCAATTACATCAGTAATATTATTTGCTTATGTAATATATGACCAATTAATGAATGGATTACCTAATAAATCATTAAGTACTAATTCATTATTAAAAAACCCGGACTTCTTTGAATCTAATAATATATTTAATAGTAATGAATTAAAAGCAAATTCTATTGAATTCTTATTAAATCACCCTCCACTATTCCACCCATTCAATACTTTAGCTATCCAATCATAATAATTCTAAAGGAAATATATATAAATATATATGTAATATGTTTAAGAAAATTAGCTTAGTTTTTTACATTCAAAAATGCTGTATACATACAATAGGTAAAAAAGAAACTTAGTTATAAAAAATCAAGTCATTGTGGTGGAATTGGTAGTCACAATATACTTAAAATGTATTGCCGAGAGGCGTATAAGTTCGAGTCTTATCAATGACAATAATAAATAAAAAACATATATTGAGCCGTTGACTAATAGGTAAGTCACTTGTATTTGGAGCAAGTTTATAATAGTTCGAATCTATTCGGTTCAACTAATAATAACCCACAAGGGATGGTAGTTTAATTGGTAAAACGCTTGACTTTTAATCAACTTATATTCGGTTCAAGTCCGGTTCATCCTATTAATTAAGGTAAATATAATTTAATGGTTAAAATAAGTCATTGTGGTTGACGCAATCTGAGTTCAAGTCTCAGTATTTACCCTCCTAAAAGTTAACCACTTTTTCCACTTAATTTATATTAATTCGTTAATATAGTTTAACAGGTTAAAACGGTTGCTTCATAAGCAATTAATGTTAAGTTCAAATCTTACTATTGACTTAATAATATTTCTTATTTTTCATAATAATAGTATATCCTTTCCTTCAATTGAAGTAGATATATTATGACAATAATAACACACAAAATAAACAACAAATGAATTGAATAAACATTAAATTAATTCTTAAATTAATTATTAATAAACTTATTAATAGCCCTATTAATAGAGCTAATTATCTTAATATTAGATACAATATTACTATTTTATTATATGTATTTGAGGATTTATTCCTTAATAAATTTAAATCCTTAAAAGATAAGCAAATTCATTATTATAATTATATATTGAATAATAATAAGTTAATTAAACTTAACTCTACATCTAACAAATACATAGCTTATAACTTTAATAGATATGAATTATTAAAAAATATGCTAATATCTAGATTAACATCTAAATTAATATATGACTTAATATATAAAATATTCTATAATAATATTAATAAATCATCTAGATTTATAAATAATTATGTGTACTTAGTTATAAGTAAGCCCAAAGTAAAAATTAATTTATCTAATGTTAAAATATCATTTTATTACTATTTACCTAGTTATAAACCTAACTTATTCATTAATAGAACATTATTATATTTAAATAATAATAATCCTAAATTAGCTCAAAGTACTTTATCCAAAGGGAAGTTAGATAACCTTAAGTATTCGTTTATTTCTAATATAATTAATAACATATTTGAACTTAGAAATAATAAGCATTTATCTGAGAATTTAAACAATATTATTAATAAAAAATCTAATAATATTTATAGCTCATCTTTATATAATTTAATTGCTTATAGACTTAAATTTAGAGTTTTAAATCATAATATTAATAATGATTTAACTCGTTATTATATTAAGAATTTATTGACTAATATTTATTCATCAGTTAATATAGTTAAAAATAAAAAAGGTCACGGTAATTTATTACCAGTATCAATATACAATAATATATTAAATGATATTCCTCAAGAAAATAATTGATTATATTCTGGATATACTAATTTAGATACCAAGAAAAGAATATACAAGATATTATTAAATAGAGGAAATAAAGATTTAATCTTAAGTAATACGAAATATATTAGTAATAACACTAATATGGATTCTAATTTAGTAATTAAGAGAGCATTCCACAACTCATCAGATAATAAACCAAATTATTTACAATTAATAGTCTTTAGTATAAACAAGTTATTCAACCAATTAAATGGCAATAACAATATTAATAATAAATCAATAATTAATGTAAATAAGTTATCTAATATACTAAGTAAATTCTTTAACAATAAGAAAGTTATAATAAACCCAATACATTTAAAATATGAGTATAATAATACTGACATATTAATGCGTATATTATCTAATAGTATAGATGATGAGAATGACAGAGATATTGACAGGAAATTTAGAAAGATATTATTAAATAGAAAATTAGTATTAAATGATAGTAAACGGATCTTAAATACAATAAAAGAGAACAAATTAGTATCAATATCTAATAGAGACAATATTTATGATAATCAATTAGATTATCAGAAGGAATTAAACGTAAATAATAGTATAGACAATATAAGTAAAGAGAGTATTAGAGACATATTATTACCCAATATGAACATAAATTTATCAGATAATATAACAAATAAATATTTAGTAGGAACCAAATTTGAATATAATGGTAAATATGGGTCTAGTTGAGGTAAACGTAGATCTAACAAGTATTCATATAATAAAGGTACATTTAGAAATTATTTAATAGAATATAATCAAGTTAAGAACAGTAGTTATAATTTAAATTATATAAAACCGGGAGTAAGTAAAGGATATATAGGAAAACACACATTTAGTGGTAAAGTCGGTATTAAATTAACATTAAATAGAATATAAATCGAGATATATATAAAGATATAAGAGGTAAAATTTTATATATTTTTAAAGGGAATTAATTATTAATTAATAATAAGTAAATTATTAAAGAAAGTAATGAAAAATCAAACTAATATTATATTATAATATAGGTATAGTAAATGAAAGAGATATATAAATAAAGTATAATATAAATATGTAAATAGGTAAGTAATATTACAAAAATGAAGTTAATATAATAATAATAATAATATTATTAATAATAATTTAGTAACAAATCAGGTTGATGCCGAATGGTTAGGCACCTCTTTTGGGAAGAGGCTCAAGCTAGTTCGATTCTAGTCAACCTGAATAATAAATAATAGAAATTATAACCAACTCTTTTAGTTTAATTGGTTAAAACATATTACTTCTAATAATATAATTAACGTTCGATTCGTTAAAAGAGTGATAAATACAATAATATGTAGATAGATATTACAAATATATAAATATATATTAATTGGAATTTAGTTAAATGGTTATAACATGAGTTTTACACACTTATATTATAGGTTCAAATCCTGTAGTTCCTAATAAATAAAAGAAATTTAATCAAGTAATGAGCATGATGTTGGCTCAGGTTTAACATTATCTAAGGACTTTATACATGCTAATTGTACGTTTATTTAAATATATTATAATGAATATAATATAATTAAGTAAAAGTAGTGTGAAGGTGAGTAGGATTGAAATCAGAACTATTAATTTAGTTAAAATACTAAATAATAGATAAAGGAGAAATTCCGTTAATAGTCGAGTCAATATTGGAATAGGTAGTAGGTGATGTAAGAGATCAACCTAGCCCATGATCCATAGTCAGTAATTTATCGTTATAATGACCACATTGATAATTAAATATATCAATATTAATTATGTCTAATTTCTATAATTATATAATTATATCGATAGGCATAAAATACAGCAGTAGGGAATCTTAGACAATGATCGCAAGATTGATCTAGTTACTTAGAAAGATGATACTTATGACAAATAATTAATTAAATTAATTAATTATATAATAAAAATAAGGATGAAAAATATAAAATCTAATTATAATAACATATTATTAATAATATGTACAAGGATAATGACCTTAAATTATAATTAAGTTCCAACCAAGAGTAGTGCCAGCAGTTGCGGTTAGACTACGGGAGCAAATGTTAACCAGTACTTGGCTTAAAGGATCCGCAGGTTAAATAATTAAATTATTTTAGAGTATAATATAATAGGATATTGAATAATTACAGAAAGATATAAAAAATGATGATCGTAATTAGACAGATAATAGCGAAAGTTATATTCATTATACATACTGACACTGAGGGATGAAGGTATGAGTAGCAATTTGGATTAGATACCCAATTAGTTCATACAGTAAACTATGAGTACTATATAAATAATAATAAAAATATTATATAAGAGATATAAGTGAAAACTTAAGTACTCCGCCAGACGAGTATACTCTCAAGAGTGAAACTCAAGACAATAGACGGTTACAGGAATACGCAGTGGATTGTGTTTTTTAATTCGATAATACCCGAGAATCTTACCATTGTTTGTATTATAAACAAATGTTACATCGTTGTTGACAGTTCGTGCCTTATGGTTTTGATTAATTTCTTGAACGAACGCAAATCCTTTTTTATATGGGTTATAATAATAATAACTGAATATAAATTAAATATTAATTATCTTAATGATTAATAGTAATATTAAAAATAATATTACATAAATTAGGAGCGACAACAAATCATGATGACTTTAATATAATGGGCCAAAGACGCAATACAAAATATTAATACAAAATCTTATTAGAGAAAAGGAAAACTTTAATAAATGACGAAAATGATATAACTAATATATTTGATAAGATATATATATCATATGGATTATCTTCTGAAATTCGGAGATATGAAATTGGAATTGTTAGTAATCGTATTTAATAGGAATACGGTGAAATTTATAACTGTTTCGTACTAATTACTCATCATTCGCTGGAAATTCGAATATATTATAGTGTATTTGAACACATTATTTCAATTTAAAGAATTGATTTAAGTGGATAAAAATAATAACAGTCATATCCTAGAATAACCAGTGAGAAGTTGAAATACAGTTACCGTGGGGGAACCAGCGGTGGTATGTGAGACAATTTGAGATATCAATATTATTCAAAACAAACTAAAATTAACAATAGGTACTCTAATAAGAGGGTTATATCGCGGGCATTGATCCTAGTGTGATAACAGAGTGACGACTACATTAAAACCCCTATTTTAATATATTTAGCTTTTTCGATATTAAAAAAACCTATTTTAATATATTTAGCTTTTTCGATATTAAAAAAACCTAATAGACGGGAAGATCTTCAATGTTGGTATTTGAAGCTGACCTGTAAATTCAGTGATATGTTTTATCTTCATACGTTCGATTCGTATTCTTCTCAACATGGGGTAATAGTTTAATTGGCAAAACGATTGCTTTGCAAGCATTTAATCTGTGTTCAAGTCACGGTTACTCCAATTAAATTCAATCTAATCTAATCTAATAATAAAAATGGTTCTGTAGCTTAATTTGGTTAAAGTCTTATCTTGTCACGATAATGGATATCCGTTCGAATCGGATTAGAATCGTTATGGAAATTTAATCATTGGTAAGATAAATTACTTGCTATGTAATGGAGAAATCTGGATAGGTTCGAATCCTATAATTTCCGATTTAGGTTAATTATTAAAACTCCTAAATTTAATAAAAATGATAAATTTAATAAAGTTTAATAGTTATATATTGAATATATATATATATTATGCCACAATTAGTGCCCTTTTTCTTCTTAAATCAATTATTTTATGGTTATTTAATCTTATTCGCTATCTTAGTTTTATCTTCATATGTTATTTTACCTTATATCCTAAAATTACGTATTGCTAGAATTATTATAGCTAAATTTTAAAAACCTTTAATAAATAAGTCTATAATTTAACCGGTTAAAATACCTCCTTGATAAGGAGATAATAGATGTTCGAATCATCTTAGACTTAAGTTCCTATAGCTTAATTTGGTTAGAGCAGTAACTTGAAGCGTTATTGATATAAGTTCGAGTCTTTTTAGGGACATTTCCATAAAAAATATAGTTAGAATAATTGTATATCTATTAATATAATATATATTATACATTATCATAATAACCTAATAAAGGTAATAATTTTTAAAATGCAATTAGTATTAGCTGCTAAATATATTGGTGCTGCAATAGCTACAATCGGATTAACAGGTGCAGGTATTGGAATCGCTATCGTTTTCGCTGCATTAATTAACGGTACATCAAGAAACCCTTCATTAAGAAATACATTATTCCCATTTGCTATTTTAGGGTTTGCCTTATCAGAAGCAACAGGTTTATTCTGTCTTATGATTTCCTTTTTATTATTATATGGTGTTTAATTTTAAATATTATTTTAATAATCTTAAAGCAATGTTATATTCCATTATATCAGATATATCTGAATTAATTAATTATATTATATTTTTATTATATTATAATAATAATTATAGTTATATTAATATAAATAATCATATTCTATTAAGTAAAGAATTTAATAATGATGATATTAATGATAATACAAATAATAATGAAGTAAGTGACAATAATCATATAAATGATAATAATAATAATCATATTACTAATAATCCATCTTCAATTAAAGAAAATAATATATCAACGAAAGATAAATTAATATCATTAATAGAGAAGAAGCATGGAGAGAAGTGAGTAAAGAATTATAAAAACTATACATTAAAAGAGTTAAAGATATTATTAGACAAAGATATTAATATATTTAATAAGAAGTATTGAGACAATGTATTAAAGAACAAAGATATTGAATATAATGAATATTATAAATATTCAATATTATTAGGATTAGCCTTAAGTGGATTAAAATTTAAGCCTAATGACAAGAGATATTATTATACACATACATTAAAAGATATAACTTACATAAGTGGATTAAGGAATGTATTAATTTATTTTAATTTAATAACAGGTAAGTTAGGTAAGAAGCAAGTATATAAGAACAAGAATGATAAGAAATATAATAATATAGTAATACATTTACGTAAATTAGACAACAAGTACATAGTACCATTATTATCAGGCTTATTTAGATATAATAAATGAACAAATAAGTGAGAGATGAGATTAATAAACAAGCATTTATTTGGGAATTATTTTACATGAATATCATTAGGAATATGATTATATGAGAAGAGGATACATTCAGATAAAGGAGGTTATATAAAATTATATGATGACAGTTTAAAACATATAAATGACATAATATTTTTACATGAATATATTAAGACGAAATTCAACTTAGACATATCGTTATATGTGGAAGAGGAGAAGAAAAATAATGTAGAAAGTCATAATAATGAATTAAATGACAATACGAGAGTATCACAATATAAGATGTATATTAAGAAAAATAGTTTAGATAGAATAAGATTAAATTTATCAGAGTATTTTACGACTGAGTTTATCGATGATATATTTGAGAATGACAGAAGAAGTAATAAATAATAAATGTTAGAATAGCTTAATTGGCAAAGCGATATACTGTTAATATATTTTATTTGGGTTCAAGTCCCAATTTTAACTTAACTAGATTATCTTTAAAGATAAGGAGATATATATAAATATATAACGATAGAAAGATTTATCCTTTAATTCAATAGGTAGAATATTAAACTACGGATTTAATAATATTGGTTCAAGTCCAATAGGGATTAATAAGAATATGTGTTTAGAGTTAAAGGTTAACAAATTGATTGCAAATTAATTACTCGTGGGTTCGATTCCCACCTAAGCATCTAGTTATATAATAGAGGGAGGAGACCTATAATAATAATTGGGATAATCGACAATAAAAAGTCAATTATCCCACCCTCGTTTAAAAAAATACTAAATATATAAAAATAATAAAAATAAAAATATAAAAGGGAATTAAATAAAAAAAGCTAAATAAATAAAAGAATAAAAAAATCTGAAAAAGGGGGAATAAATTCAAAAAATACTAAATATATTAAAATAAAAGAAAGGGAATATAATAATAAAAATTAAAATATAATTAAATATATTAGGGAAATATTAGTCTATATGTGGTATTTTTAATTAATTTAAAGGGAATTAAATAAGAAATAAAAATAAAAATAAGAAAAAAAAGAATAAAAAGTAATAGAAATGGGATATAAAAAAAGACTAAATAAAGACAATTTCAACATATATAAATATAACTCTATAGTAGTTTAGAAACATAGATTATAGTATCAAATTAAATAATAATTTCACCTTAAAGTTAATTAAAGTATTGATTTAAGTTAATGCTATTCAATAAATTAAAAGGATTAAATTAAGAGAATTTAATAATAAAAATTATTTTTAACTATTATAGGATTAAGTTATTTTGCCGTTATATCTGCTTATATAGTTCAAATTTTAATTCTTAAAATTTAAAGAATAGAACTCTATAGTATGTTTAATTTTTTAATATATAAAGTATAAATTAATAGAGAAATAAGCAATATAATATGATAATATATGAACATATAAAAATAAAAGAAAAATGATTTTAAATAATTGAATAATAAATTCTCCATTAGATCAATTTATAATTAATAATATATTAGAAATTAATTCACCTTTTATAAATTTAAGTACAATAAATATAAGTACATTTAGTATATATACTATATTAGTATTATTAGTAATTTATTATTTATTTAAATTATCAATAGGAAAAAATTTAATTAAAGGTTCAAATTGATTAATATCAATAGAAGCAGTATTTGATACAATATTAAATATGGTTAAAGGACAAATAGGAGGATCAGTCTATGGAAGATATATACCATTAATATATACATTATTTAGTTTTATATTAATAGCGAATTTAATAGGAATGGTACCATATAATTTTGCATTATCAGCAAGTTTAATATTTATAATAGGAATATCAGTAAGTTTATGAATAGGTTTAACAATATTAGGTTTATTTATAAATAAATTTATATTTTTTAGCTTATTTGTACCAAGTGGAACACCATTACCATTAGTACCGGTATTAGTTTTAATAGAATTATTATCATATACAGCGAGAGCTATATCATTAGGATTAAGATTAGGAGCTAATACATTATCTGGTCATTTATTAATGAGTATATTAAGTAATTTAGTTAAGAATTTAATGAGTATAAATTATATAACATTAATATTAGGATTTATACCATTATTAGGGATATTTGCGATAGTAATATTAGAATTTGCTATAGCATGTATTCAAGCATATGTATTTGCAATCTTAACATCAAGTTATTTAAAAGATAGTATATATTTACATTAGGGGAATAAATTGAAAAAAGCGAGATAGATACAAGGCTACAAGGACGGGGGGGCCCCTTTTGTATAGTAACTTAATGTTTAAGATTTTAAAATGAATGACTAAAATAAAAGATAAAGAATATTGAATAAGATGTGAACTATGATTTATATGTTAAGTTTAGGTGAGAGAGGGGGAATTAAAGGACGGGGAGAAGTATGTTAAGAACCCCTAATTTAAGTATGTACAAGCTTTAATTAATTTAATTAATGTTACATACATTCTCCCCTTACCCCTAATAAAATTATTTACCCCACAATTATCTCCTATTATCTTATTTATCCTATAATTATATTATTATTTTTATTAATTGTATAGTAACTTAATGTTTAAGATTTTAAAATGAATGACTAAAATAAAAGATAAAGAATATTGAATAAGATGTGAACTATGATTTATATGTTAAGTTTAGGTGAGAGAGGGGGAATTAAAGGACGGGGAGAAGTATGTTAAGAACCCCTAATTTAAGTATGTACAAGCTTTAATTAATTTAATTAATGTTACATACATTCTCCCCTTACCCCTAATAAAATTATTTACCCCACAATTATCTCCTATTATCTTATTTATCCTATAATTATATTATTATTTTTATTAA